GGGGGTGCTTCTATCAGGCCTGTCAGGACCAATCTGGGCTGAGTAGGTTATTTAATTACTAATCCCTACAGACAGTCGGAGATACATGATAATAATATACTCTACACAGTAACTTCCCTACTCGAGAATTAAACTGACGTCTTCTGCTTTCAATGGCAAAGAGTCTGACCATTGTTCCACATACGTCGATCCCTCATGCACTGGCTGCAAAATCTGTCATGAAGATGTCAAGACCTTTTCCAGATGACGCCTTGTTTATCATTTCGTAACAAGTTTGGTAATTTCGAACGCTACCCTTTTCAGTTGATCAGGTCAGCATCTCTGGTTGGAGCAGTGGGCCTCTCTAACAGGCACTTTGCAAGCTCAGAACAACTATCTGTGAACGAAATGCACAGGCAATGGGGGACTTAGGCAGCAGTGTGATTGGCCATTACGCCAAGGGAGCGACAGCTGGCATAAACAAGGAGGGAATCTTCTCTCACGGAGCAGACCCTTCTCCGCCCCCTCCCCCACACACATACACAATAAAAAAAAGAAGAAGAAAAAACGAACGGAAGGCCTAACATCCTAAAAACAACCCCAATCATCTGATCCCAAAACAACCAGAACAAGAAGAAGCAGAAGAACAACAACCAACCCCCCAAATCCAATGACAATGAACTAAAGCTCTCTCAGCTGTCCTGTTCAAAGTGGGTTGCACCTTCAGCTCAATTGGTATATTATTATAAAGTTACAGGTAACATACAACGGCGACAGCCCTTGAGAGAATCCCCAACGGTTTGTTTGAGGAATTTTCAAGATTTTCCAGTTGCGTGGCTCTGTCCTTGCGGCCACGAACGTTACAGTTTGAAGTGTTGTCTCTTCAATAAACTAACAGTATTGAAAGCGTTGATAAACCCATTTCAATTTATACTCACTCACAAAGTCAATGAGAATCACACACTCCAAGATATACGACACGAGGTAACGAAAGTTAAGACACAGAACTCAAGATGGATTTGACAAACAACACGTCAAAACTTCGGATTTTTTAAGGAAATAAAACGAAATCATTAGGTCTATCCTTTCAATAAGTGGACTACAACGGGATTACGTAATTTGCGTACCTTTATCGCCATCATCATTATTTTTCTTTTTTTTTTCTTCAGTTTTACCTCTGCTCTGGCATGTCCCCTGACAAAATGTTGCCGCAATCAAGTTGACTTGGACCGTACAATACTGCTCGACTGTTCATTCTGATTTTTACGTGACACATTATTAAGTCCATCTCAAATGTACATGTGAGCTAATTGTTAGAGAAATGTGAGAAGCCCATAGATGGATGTACCCGTTAAGGCTGGACCAAAGTTAAATAATGGGGCTGGGAATTAGATGACTGGACACACATTTCTAGTTTGTTTATTGTTATGTTAGTTAACAGAAGGGTAGTTAACTTGCAATTAATGCAAAAATGCTGTACTTTTATCGTACAAGAATGGAGGGTGAAAAGAATTAGAAAAGAAGAGAGAGAGAGAGAGAGAGAGAGAGAGAGAGAGAGAGAGAGAGAGAGAGGGAGAGAGA